TCTGCAGGAATATAATAATTTTAAGAAATAACTGGGAGACTTCTGTGCAATTCTTCTGGACATGTAATGCTTTCATTTGAAAAGTCCATCATTTAATGTCTGATTTTTTAACCTGTGAAGCCCTATGCTTTGGAGGTTGCAAAGATAAACTTGGGAACTGTAGGATACTAGAAGACATTAACAAGAGAATATTGGTAGTTTTTAAGGCTTGTCACGCAAAAAAATTCACATTAAAAACTAGTCATAGTTTCTTGTCTCAATATTTGAGGTGGCTGTACTTTTTTCCAAATATGTTGAGAAAATCTGATTTGTATGTGCTTGTCATTTCCCTGAAAGACGAGTTCCAGAATTCTGTTTTTTAATCAATCAGATCATATTACTTAAAAACAGCAACAATAAAACTGCCAAAAAAATCATTGAAACCACAAGAAGCAAGGGTATTTTCATGTGATGGTGTTTCACAGAGGAACAGATTTGAACTTCCTGAGTGGGCTACTTTATATAACAGAGTAAAGCATGACTAAAGCTATGAAAAATATCAGGGCATTAGCCTTTCTAATGGAACAAAATGGCAATGTAAAACGCAGTTTTTTCTGTCTCAGAGAGATGTCAAGTCACTATAAAGCAGAATAGGTCAGCTTCGGAAAATGCCTATTGGTAATTTTTCACTGGATACATTTGTGTACTGCGATTATATTCAAAATAACACAGCATGTTTTGTGCCAAGAAAATGACTCCACAGTGCGACCATCTGCAAAGCAGAAAATACTCTTGGACAGATTTGGAACTCAGCATGTGGTTCCTACTGCAGACAGCACAGTAGCTAATTTTACAAGAGATCAAGATAACTTTACACCGCTATTTATCTGAGCCTAGCTAATGAAACAGCATGTGGCTTAGAAAGGTGTAATGTGTGTCTGTGTTTAATAACTTTTGTATGGGAAAAAAAGCAAAGGTAGTCACGTTCAGCTTTTCCAAACTCTGTGCAACTGTTTAGCCATGCAGATATGTCCAGAACTTCTGCTTTTGCCTTCCTTAGACAAGTGTTTGCATGCACAATTCAGGTATCAGAATTCTCAGCCTAGCAGCAATATCTATTTCTGGGCTTGATTTGTGGCTCAGGTGTTTGTGCTGAAGAGGCATTTGGAAACTTGATTTTCTGCAAAAGTTTATGTCTGCCCTGTGCTACCTAGCAATGCAAGCTGGGAAGATGTCTTTAGGATGTCTTTTCCACATCACCAGGCTATCTGTGTGACACTCTCCCCCAGCATGATCTAGAATATTCTGAACAGAGAATTTTTCCCCTGGAAAAAATGCATATCAGAGAGGTGGCAGATATTCAGCCATGCTTTTTCTTCCTCTTTTCATCAGATACTTCTTTAAGACTCCTTAACTCACAGGTGGGAAAAGTACTGTGCCTTTTGTTGCAGCTACACAAAGAGTTGCTTACAAGCTGCTCTGACCTTGCCTAGGCAGAATTTTTGTATAAATATATTTTCTGAAGTTCCCAGCATTTTCACCAAATGCATTGTCAAATTAAACACTGCAGTTGCTTGAGTACATTCACAGAGTTTCAAAAACTGAAGTTAAAAGAATTACCAAATTCAAGGTCAGATGTCCTGCCTCATCTGTCATGTGTCTCAACAAGCTGTCACCTGTCTCAGGCCCTTCCCTCTGCTTCCTGTTTTCCTGCAGACTTTGCTAACACTGAGTTTGGTAAAACTGGGATGCTTTACTAGAACCAAGGCAAGTAGCTGGAAAATCCATAGTGCTTTGTTACTGAGTGAGAGGATGTATATCCTAGCTTTTCAGCTCCTTAGTGCTTTCCTCGCTCTGCCAAGGCAGGGTGTACAAACAGTAACAGAGACTGCCTTGCCAACCCTCAGCCCTGGGCTTCAGCCTCTTCAGGTGGTGCATTTCCTCTCCCACTCTCAAGTGGCAGTTTTGATCAACAAGGTCCTTGAGTCAGATGGGTCTATCAAGTCACAGAATCACAGAATATTGGGAGTTGGAAGGGACCTCAAAAGATCATCTGGTCCAACCTCCCTGCCAGAGAAGGATCACCTAGATCAGGCCACACAGGAATGCATCTGGCCAGATGGGATCCACCCCAGGGTCCTGAGGGAGCTGGCAAAAGTGCTCACAAAGCCACTTTCCATCATTTATCAGCAGTCCTGGCTGACTGGGGAGGTCCCAGTTGACTGGAGGCTTGCAAACATGACACCCATCTACAAGAAGGGCCAGAAGGAAGACCCAGGGAACTACAGACCTGTCAGTCTGAGCTTGTGCCAGGGAAGGTGATGGAACAAATCATCCTGAGTGCCATCACACGGCACATGCAGGACAACCAAGCGATCAGGCCCAGTCAGCATGGGCAGGTCCTGCTTGACTAATCTTATCTCCTCTTATGACAAGGTGACCTGCTTGGTGGATGAGAGGAAGGCTGTGGACGTTGTCCACCTGGACTTTAGTAAGGCCTCTGACAAACTTTATGTCCAATTATCAGGAGCTGGCAAGCAGAAGAGGTAGTAGCAAAACCACTACAAATCCCAGCCCTGTCCCAGAAAAATAACAAGCTTGTAAACACTTTTTGTCAGGTGCAGTCGCCTGAAAATTCCCTTTTCTTCCTACCTTATTGCTGCTAAAGTGAGAGGATGGTGGAGGCAAATAGGAAAAGCAAAGAAGTTAAAGGTGAATTTTTTCCTCAAGCATAGTTCACATCTCTGAAATAAAATCCTTTTTGTGAGAGGCAAAACTTATGATGGATCTCATTGAGCTAATCAGACCACTGGAGGAGACAAAGAAGATGAAGTGCTGGTGATGCCTTAGTGTCAGCAACTTGCAGCCAAAATACTGAAAGCTCAGACACACCTGTAGAAGCAAGAGGCAGGGGTCTGGATGACAGCAGTGGGCTGGGGACTGCCAGAGGCCTGGATTTCCCACCCCATTGCCTGCAAAGGATTTGCCTTGAGAGATGGGAAACCACAAGTTTTAGCTCAGTAGCAAGGCTGAGGGGATGACTATGTCCAACATAATGTCTGTTTGCTTTTCCTGAGGCAAAGAATAACATTCTTTTGGTGGAGAACAAGCATATTTCTTTCTTCCGATTATGTTTCCAGGAGTAACCTATGTCTCAGTATCATGATGATCAGTGCACGTGATGCTTGCTGTGCTGTATTTCTAATATGCATTAGGGCTGCTCTTTTAAACCAACTGATTTTTACTTGCTCTGTAAGAAAAGTTAGTAGCTACTTTAACTAAAACACCTGTTGAGAGTCGAAGAAGCATTGTGGTAAATGTGGAACTAAATACAAGGGCTGAGCTGTGAAATGGAGTGTGGCTGTAGCTGTGATGGTCTGTGATGGTCTGAGAGCATATGCAAGGCAAAATTTGTAGTGAAAAGCAATTTTACTTGATGATGGAGAAAAGAGAAGAAAAAGACAAGCTGTGGAACAAATAAGCTCTCCTTTAGATCTGAAGAAAGGATTATGTGCGTGAAAGCTTTTTTGACTGTCTTTTGCTACAAATCCTACACTTCAGAATAACAGGATTTTAAACCTTCTGCAAGGCCACTTGCAGCCCTGCGAACACTGTCTCCTCAATATAATAAATTCATGCAATTGTTTCAAGTGATTCGAACTATGGATTGGGCCCTATGTAAAAGCGCCCAAGGCATAACTATATAGTGATTACTGATTGCAACCAGATAAACCTGTGACATTTGCTGAGCCATTTTATGTTGAATGGTAATACGTATTTCCCTCCTGACTCACTTGTTGATCCTGTGCATTCATCTAATGTGTAGTTGAAATATCATCCTGCTCATTGCATAAAATTAAAATAATTTATGTTTTTAAGTGATATTTCAAAGTTTTGATTATTTTAACTGTTCTTTAGCTTGTAGTTCATTGTCTCCCATTCTGTATTTTTGTTTTTGCATAAAATATGTGTCATTTGCATGTTTTTAGGTCTAAATATGATGTGCTGTTAGTCTCAATCGATATTTAAAATAGTTAAACAAGGTTTGGAGTCACCTTTACTTATCCCTGTGCAACTGTTCTGTCTTGCAGTATCAATATAACAGCTGTGGTCAAAGGAAGGTCTCTGCACGCACAAGAGCGAATTTTGAATACAGACCTGATGGTCTGTTTGGATAATAAGTTGTAAAATACTCATTGGATCTATGAGATTTGTCTGTAGCAGTATGATTTAAACAGTTTGTGTAGTATACAGTTACTCTCCTATGACAGAGTATGAATTCAAATTAATTTTCAACATGCATTTCTTTCATTCAACCTGAATGTGATGGGAAGAATGAAGCCATACTAGAAAATTAAAGCAAAATGTTAATGGCATTTATTTTGCTTTCAATGTAAAAATAGGGCCACAAATAAATTATTCAGATCATACTGAATACAATTTAAAACTTTGAACATTGCATGTATTGTATACAACATGCATATTACCAGGAACATTTTAGGGTTCTGATATTATCTAAAGCCAGATGGTTTTGTTCGAACTGGGAAAGTGCATAGTATAGTAGTGAGAAAAATGACAGTTACTACACCTTGCATTACAAGAAAGATTTAATAAAAAAATGTAAAGCAACGTTGATTAAAGACGTGTCTTATGATTAGATTCCTTGTGGCTTATTAAAGTACAAAAATTAGATGTGGAAGAAGGTATTAAGACAAATATTCTAATTTATGGTGAGAAATGGTCTTTTTTAATAGTGCAAGAAAATATTTTAATCCTTTGTAGTTTGCAAGATACCCTTGCTTACACTAACATTGACTACTTACCATGTTCTGCTTCACACTGAACTATTCTAAATTTGAAGGGCACCTGTTTTAGCCTTGAGAAGAAAGCTAACTGACCCACTAACTATCCTCACTTGTGAACAAAAATACTGTCTGAAGCTGTTCTCTACCAGTGCATTTGAAGTGTAATGAAGAAATCCACACATTCATTTGCCATAAAGCTTTTTTCTGTCTCTTCAGGGAAGCAATCAGTCATGTTTGTGAAGCTGTGCCTGGTGCAAAAGGAGCCTTCAAGAAACGAAAGGTATTTTTCTTTTCTTGTAGTGCGGTTGACTATATTTTCTTAGTTCAACATAGAGGAGATGAGGCACAGCAGGCAGGTGACTTTAAAGCAGCTTTGAGAATTGCAGGTCATTAATCATTTAAGGTATTGGTTGTTTTCACCCACTATATGTTGCCTCTTACCCTTTGGTCAGGATCTGCTTTTGCAGGCACCTAGAAGCGTGAGTGCATGTAGGAAAAAGATTGTGGCCTGCCTTTATGTTCCTGCTGCAGAAACCCCCTCCTTTTCCTTTTCTTTCTTTTGTAGATTGCAAGTGGAAGGCTTAAAACAAACAAAGAGAAATACCTTTTCATAAAATGCATGAATAAATTTGGAAATAGGTGCTGGAAGCTATTGCAGTGGCCAAAAGTATACATAGGCTTGAAAGTGATTAGATGTTTTCTTGGAGTGCAGCTCTACTGTTGGCAACTGATGAGTTTGAAAATCACTGATTTCTGGAAATTGAGAGAACATACCAAGTGATCCTCTATTCCCCATCGTGCTTCCATAAACACCTGTGGTTGATGCTCAGTGGCCTGCACTGACAGAAGGTCCAGTGGGAACTGGCCTAACTTGGTTATTACCATGATTTTATTGTTAATGATGTGGTAGGAGTTAGGTTCTTCAGGCAAGGAGTGGCGGAAGCCTTGTATCAGCTTGGCTCGGCTCCTACACTGATGGCTCTCAACAGTCTTGGACTATTCCAGGGGCCTGCTAGCAAAACTGGGATTTAATGCTAATTCTAAGGAAAAGAGTGTAAGAAAGCAATTAATTATAGCCCTTGTGTGTGTTGTTCAGCACAGGAGAATGGGTAGGTGAACGAAAAGGTCTTTCTGCTTCCCCAGCTGCTCCACCACCTAGGTGGAATCCCAGCAGAACGGGGTGGGATGAAATGCCACTTTTTTGCAATGGAGAATCTTCCCTTGGTAAAATAAGGCATATGTGACAACATATGTTACAGCATAATTGGAAATTGTCTCAGAAATTAAGATTGTGGTCCCCCCTTGCCCACCTTGTCCCCCATCTCCGCCCCCCAGATTTATAACATTGGAATTTCTGGGTTCTCTGGCTTTTGTTTTTAAACCTGAAAGTAAAGAGGAAAATATCTTTTTCCTTGAAAAGTAAAATGATGCAAAATATCATTGGAAATGTAGGTTACACAGAGTCACAAGTGCCTCGTGAGGCACCTTGTTATATTACTATTTTTAGAAGCAATGTTGCTTATGAGTTATTGAAAAGAAATAGTGTTTTAAAGTGAGTCTATTGGCTGAGAAAAAAAAATTGCCCAACAACAGAATTTCAGATAAATGTTAAAGAGATAAATCTTTTGCCAGTCTGTAGTTTCATCATGGTTTGGACACTAGTGGCTTGTGAATTTGGTTAAGGTAACATGTACTTCTTGAGGCCAAGTTTTCACACTTTACCCACACTGTAGGCAGGTGATCCATAGGCATGAGCTGGGAATCTTAAGGATTTAAGGAATGAAGAGAAACAAGAATACTCAAAAGGACTTTTTTGAAAGAAAAGTTAATGATACACTAGCTTTGTTAGATGACAAAGTTAAAATACTGCAGCACAGATGTTACATATGAGCAGTATGTAGGTAGCATACTTTTAATCAATTAAACAGAAGGAAAAAAAGCTAAAACTGGTTATATGTAAGCTTTATGGAGTAAAGAAGCACAGGTGTGCCTATCCTGCTAGGGACAAAACTTCCTAAGCTTGCAGACAGCTCAGGACAAATGCAAATACAGTGGCAGAAGAACACTGTCTCCAGTCACAGCTTTACTTTTATATCCTAATGACCAGTGTAAATATTCACCAGTGTAAGTACAGCAAGGGGAAGAACTTGATCTGTTACTGTTGGGCAGTCTGATTTTGTACAGGGTGTGGTTACCTCAATGAGGCTGCTCTCGTGCAGCTGTGTGGTCCCCTGTAGCTGTCAAAAGTGAGGACTTGGTAAACTTTGCTTTGGAAGGGTAACTTGTATTGCTACAAAACTTTCTAAGATCCAATGAAAGGCCTACAAAAGTTATCAGTATTATTACATCCCTTTTATTACATTCCCAAACTTTTGTGAGTTAGGAGTAATCTTTAGCTGCATGTTGTACCTCAGCATACAGAGGTTTTTGCCTATGGCTGGGCTTTTACCTACTGCCAAGAAGTCTGCAAGCATGATGACACTGTGTATCCCTTTTTGTGAGCATCCCATCAGTATCACTGGGGTCTCACTTTCCATGTGGGAAGAGGGTAGAGCAGTCAGTAGATACAGAGCAAAAGTAAACTCTTTTCAGGAGTTGAAGCTGTTTTTACAGAATAAGAACATACCGTTTTAAGATAATGACTGAAGGCATTCATCTTTGTCTGCTCACTTTTGTCCCTTGCTGAAGATGAATCTTTGCTATCTCACAAAATCCCTATTTTGTTCGGTCAGGAGTAAATAAATACCTGCCTAGCTCTTATAATTATTATAATT